TATCCGAATCGTAGATTTGACGTACTGTCCTTAACGACAGGATTCTTTCTAGATGTACACCAAGTAGACACGACATAACCTTTAGAACAAACATTTATACAATTTTTAAAAATTAAGCTCGTATGCACTTAACGCTAACTACGAAATTTGTTATTTCTAACATCCTTACAGTTTCCATTTACCATTCAATATTTTCCCACCTCATTATATTAAAGAGAGATGATTCTGCATGAAGGAATCAATAAATTGCTAAGTTGACCTTTGTGTGTATAAAGCGTTACTAACACGATCACACAGGACGTACAGGAAAACAAGATGTTTTGAACACGGCAACAATTAATGGTTTATTACATTGATGTAATGTTAGAAAACCCGGAATATTTCTTACGTTTAGGTATAGGGAAACTTTGTTAGAATACAAGGGGTGTACTTCTCATCATTTTAAAATCGGCTTCGCAGATATAAAAAAAGTCTTTCTTTTCATCATCCTCACTTATCAACTGAAGAAGATTATGCTACCTAATAGAACTTTTTAAAGTCACGCTTGAACATTTTAATTACCATAGTATAAAGTGCAAACTGAAAAATGTATCCTAAATTAGATTGAAAACACTTAACATGACCATTCTGTTTTCGTACATCGGAACGCTAGCTTTTCCCCCACACTTAGCTAGTACCATATTATTATATCAAAATAAAAAGGCTTAGTACTGCAACATTGCCTGACACTTATATTTCGAACTCTATGGTATAGTATATTTCATCATTAGGGCCTAAAGTGGCTCTTTTTTACACGATGTCAAGTTTTACGATCGAGGCGAAGCCGAGGTCGGAAAATGAGCGAGGGTTAAAAAGACACTTTTTGCCCGTGTGATGAACTATATTTTTTGTCATATTGCATAATTAATTATTAAAAAAGCAAGCTAGAAAATGAAACAATGTTTATCTAAAGATAGCCTCTCAAAACTACTTCCAGCATCTTTTCAATTCTGCTAATAGGCTACAAATAAGCATCTGTTTTTAGTAAAGTGGTTCAATCATTTCGTCTATTACGATTGAGTTACAGTGGATTATACCGTCGATATGTCGAGCGATCGACAACAATATGTTAAAATCTTACTTAATAAATCAATCGATAAATAATTTCGATCGATACGATAGCCACAATCTAAATTTATAACAACAGCCGATCTTTACTGCCTAGGGACTAAAATAATTTTTACTCCCTAGAGAGCAAAAATGCAACTTTACACCCGCAACGCATGCTTTTGCTGCAGTATGACGAACAAGACTTTAAAAACGAAACTCACAAAAACATCACACTTTCATTCGTACCAAATAACAGTATTTTACAATATTTATCACAATCCACAAAGTCAAACTCTCTACCACCCCACGTAGAATGACGTCACACTAGACTGAGTGTAAGAGGAGAACTAACAGCTGATTGGTCAATGAGAGCGCGCTGGAGCGAGTAACTGGACTGAACAGAGGATTAAGTTACCTGAGGTGTTTACGAAGTGACCACATAGTGTAAGATAGTGGATTTCCATCTGGATTATGAATAAGTCGTAACCACTATTGCATATTGCAAAATAGTGTAAAATGAAAAATGCATTGTAAAATATGATGACGCTTTCAAATGTGTTTTATGATGTCGACTATCGTAGTTTTCGATACACATTTTTCAAAAACGTGAAACCCACATACTTTAATCAAAGTTGAATATTCCTTTAGGAAATGTTACATGCATTATAAATAGAAAAAGTATAATTTTTATGGTGATTAAAAGTTTGAAATTTATAGCCATAAAAGTAGGACCAACTGGAAACTCAAAAATTTTTCAAGAGTAAGTGAAAATAAATTCAGTAAATTATGTGGTCTATCATCAAACAGAATAAAGAAGCATTCATGTTCAATAATTGGATCTTTAGTGCAAAAAGTTGATTTTATGGTTGACTACGTGATGGCTGAAACAAAAGACTAAAGTTAACGATGGTCAAATTAGACAATAAAAGTAGTTTTACTGTCTATAGAGAATCTTACAATAATTTAGAAATGACGAAACAAAGTAGTAAATGTATTTTAATAAGTATTTCGCACCTAATAAGTCAACAAAGAAAGACCTTACCTCAAGTAATATAGTAAGATTATATTGTGAATAGTAACTTTTACTGCCGAAGTTTCTTGAAACAATAGCAATTGTTGTAACCAATTATTGGTCGAAATTACTCAAATGGTTTACTATTTCCGGTGAACCCGGGAAAATTATTTTACCAGAGTCCCCTATGCATATTTTTGTACATCAATCTAGAATACCCCTAGTTAATTATTTATTGTTAATTAATTGTTTTATTCTGATAATTTCGTGTTCGTTTGCCGATACTCTTTAGCCAAAAAGTCTGTTTGACCTGGTTTTGAAAAACGTGACGCTTTCAAATGAAAGACAGGGACACGAAGGTTATTGACGTTCAAATTATTCATCGTGCTCTTTCAAAAGAGGTGTGAAGTGCTAGAGAGGGGAACAGTGGGGGGCAGGAGGGGGGGAGGGTACAGCCCCATTTTCATCTCTAGCGTAAAGACGTATTGTTTCTAAGGGTGGTACTTCACTACAAAACATGAGCAGTGTCAGAAGTTGAGGGGGGTAAAAATCACTAACCATCTCAAGGCTTCTCAAATTGTCAAGGATTCAGATGTTCATGTTGAAGGGACAGTTACGACATTTTAACATAGATAAATTTATATTCCCTTCATTGAAATTTTGTTTAACTAATAATTTGAATGGGATTTCGTACCATTTAGTAGAGAAATGAGAATAAAACCTTTCCAGTTCGAAATTTTTAAATGTTCAAACTAATTTGAAAATTAGATTGACCCATGCAAGATTCACAAATTAAAATATATAAAAAAATAAAAAAACATTATCAAACGTGGGACAAAATGAATACCTATACGAGTAAATCATATGATAACCTCCCAAGGAATCTGATTAAACTTATCGTAAAATTTAGCGAAAATCCAAGCGAATTTGATAATCAGATTGGCCTATGTAAAATGAACAAGTTAAAATTACAAAAAATATAATTTCAAATGAACGAGGTCAGCAACAAAGCATTTGTGTAACAAAATATTTCGGAATAAAAAGTGTATTACCATTTTACTGTAACATATAAACATGTAATATTCTTTGAAAATCAAGTGATGGTCAAAAATAGTTAACCATATTTTAATTATGTAGACTATTAAATAACTGTTTGGGCTTCACTTTAGATTAGTCCTACACTCATTCGAATGCAAAATATTGATATGATTGTTCTATATATCGATTATTTCATTCGGTTAATTAGGTTAGGTTTTAACCTAACTAAACAAACTTGATAAATCGAATGAAATAATCGATATATTGATCGATATATGCATTCGAATGAGTGTAGGACGTAAACTAAAGTGCAGCCACTGTTTGTTTTTCGAAAAGTATTTTGTTATTTTGCTTGTTCTTTAATTCTTTTACTTTAAACTCAGAGCCAAGGTAAAGTAATTGAGTGTTGTGATGCTAAACTGTTGTGAATCAAGGTCTTGAATCCTGTCTTCAGTCTTCAAGACAATGGATTATCAACATCAAAGACACGATTCACCTGTTTGTTGTAAACGTAGACAAAACGTTTGGTGTGTTCTTATCCTTTTACTACTTCTAGCGTATGTTATTATTAAAAGTAGCTGTTGCTATTAATGTAGTTTTTATAGCAATATATTCCAGGAATACTGCAAATTTTACAAGCCAAAAACGCCGTAATATACCCGTAATAATAGTTTATCTATGTGTCCTTTCCTTGAATGGTAATGAGGTAATACAATACTTTAAAACCTAATCTACCGTAGGAAGTTCGTTTGAGCTAGTTTGGTGAATAATTGGCAGATTATCTTTGTTGTAATCTAATACTCTACCGCGCAACGTACGCAAATGCGTTAGGTAAAGAATGCATTTCTAAACACTAACTCTGTCGAAGTTAATCCCTGTATAACTAAGAGATAAAAACTACAACAGTATTTGAAAACCTTAAAATCACCCAGTTTTGTTGTAAAAGCAATGAGAGTAGACTACTCATTCCAAAAAATCCCTTATTCTGACGTGCATTTTGCGTCCGGTAACTCTTTTGTAATTTGGTGTAAATCAAATGTTTCTGTACGATTTTAGCAAATTCTAAGATTTAGATATATGTCTATTTCATGTGTGATACCAGATTCTTTAAAAATATGTAGTATAACGACATGAAATAATTATACATTACACCTAATTGTTAAAAGAGCATGTTTATGCTGTAAATGTCTACAAATGTAAGACGTTTGAACTTGTAAAGTATGAGTAACAATTTCTAGAAAATAGTACGAAAGTCATTTAATAATCCGTGTAGTAATCTGTTTGTCTGATACAAAAATGTATAATATATCTGGTGAAAACCCTTAGGTACCCATAAATGCATAGACGATGTTGTATATTGTTATTCCCCACACTCAACTCAATCTAATTCACTTGAACGCATGGTTTGGTCTACATCACCTGTGTTATTGGAAAACGTGATAACCTGATGTAGGCCTACGCTGTAAAAAAGGCCTCAGGCTTTCCCATGTTATTCTTATAGAGAAAAATTAAAAATATTGTAGTTTGTTCATTGATATATTTTGATCAAATTTAGCAAATTTATGAATTTCATTCTATACTTTACTATTAACATAAACAACACTGTTTCCATCCTTTAGCAGCAAACCTAAGCACTCGTTAAACCTAATCTAATGATATTTAAATTGGGAATTAACCTGACATATTCAATGAAATATTAAAATAAAATCTAATGAGGCAAATGAAAATTCACTTAGTCTACAGGTTTGCTGTAGCGGGGGTATTTTATTTGAGGGATTTTTTTAATTTTTTTGTCCCACTTGCAATACAAACCAGCCATACATACTGTCACATAAAATAAGAAACTACTGTTGTTTTACAGACAGTGCTGTACGTGCTAGATGACACAGAACTGTTCAACCTTCTCCTCTACTCCCCGTACCAGAGGGAACAGCCATGGCGCTACATCTCCTACATGCTGCTGCACAAGGACTTTGCCCACCTGGCTCTCAACCTGGGACTGCAGACACTCCTGGCCGTGGTGCTGGAGGCTGAGCAAGGGTGGCCGAGGACGGCTGGGGTCTACTTGCTGGGAGGTCTGACTGGTGAGGGAGAAAATCATACGTCAACTTCGCAGACTAAATGGGATTTTGACAAAACAGCTTGAAAAGAGTTTGATACAAATTTTTATTAATGGTCATGTTGACTCCTTGAAGTTGTTGCGGCAGCGGAATCTGTGATTTCCCCCATAAATTATCATAGTTACAGCCACCACTTGCCCATGATTTTTTATTTTATTTTATTTTTTTGGTCCTAAGACCCTAGGTACGAGCTCGGAATTGTTTTTCACATTACTTCAGGCTAGACCTAGGGGTTGCGGCATTATCACTTAGATAAAATCTATTGATGACTTGGCGGGGTTTGAACCCGGGACCTCAGGGACTGAAATCCCGCGCTCTAACCACTAGACCTAACCACGCTCCCCACTTGCCCATGATAAGGGTTGTTGACAAGCTAATGGGAGACAGAGTTATAGCTTACTGATACTGATCATTTGTTTCCTTTATAAGGGGAACTAAATATTGTGCTCGGACCCTCCGAGTCAAGACACTATCATAGCTAAGAACACTACGGTGTTCAGTGGGTTAGAACCTAAGACTCCTGTATACAAGTTTGGCTCTCTAACCTATAGCAGACCCTACCACTTTAACTACTTTCATTTCCGGACTCACAAAATTTGGTTACAGCTAGTACATGAGAATTGGATGTCTAGTACATCTATACTCCATCTATTGTTGTGTTGTACAACAGAGAAGTAAGGTACAGAAGAAACAAACTTATGGGTTTACCGTGCGCTTTCAGCTCTAGTATTTTGTGCCGAGCATATACTTGTGACAAGCAAGGAAGAGAGAGCTCAAGCAGCGAGCACTGTGTGGAAATTCCTATCGCACAGGGTACAGGATTTTCCTCCACCGAGAGCGTTGTAGTACATGAGGGTGGCAGTGTTGGGCTTTGCCCTAGACACCAGCAACTAGTGCTAGACACCAATTAAGTGTACTTTTGACTGTTTTGTCTGTGTTGTTACAGGATCTCTAGGAACAGCTGTTCTGGAGCCAGATCTGTCCATGGTAGGATCGTCTGCTGGAGTCTACGCTCTACTAATGGCTCAACTTCCAAACATTCTTTATGTAAGGGTCAATAAAACTGTTCTGTTTTAACTTATTTATTTAAATTATGGTTTGATTTTTAGAATTGATTTTGACCACAAAAAAAAACATAAATAATGAATAACTAATAGGTACAGGAACAAAGGTAACAAAGGATAAGATCCCTGCAGATTAATTGTTCTTATAATTCAATTTCATCAACTATTTCTTATAGAAAACAGAAAAGTTAGTAAAAGATGAACATTAAGCTTAAGGAGTAAGGAGAGCTAACCCAACTTAAAAATTAAATTATTAGTTTGATGAAGACATTGTCATCTTGGGCATTACTTCAATGTGTAATAGCACAAAAACATTCAAATTCTTTTGATGTTATTCAGACTGTGATAAATGGTCTAATATTAAATTATTAAAAATTTACAATATTCCCATTATAACTGAATTATCATGATACAAAAGATGCTTTTATGTGTATTACCGGTACCTATTGTTTTTGCGCACACAATTAGAATTAACTTTCTATGTAATTGTTACAGAACTGTGATCTTCTTCGGTACAAATGGTATCGGATTGTCAGCGTAGCTTGTCTCTGTGCCGGGGACATAGCTTACGATACGTTACGGCAGGTTTGTGCTTACTTTTTTAAACTGCTAAGTTAACGAACAATATTTTACATTAATTACATAAAATATTTCCAATTAAACAACAGTAATTGAACTTGATAGCTTAGGATAATTAGCTTTTTGTGATTATTTCCTAATATAAAGTTTCAAATCTACTTATAAACCTTTGAAAAGAGTTTCTGAAGTTCTTATTATGAAGAACTACAAATTTTGAGAGGAATAGTGAATATATAGGTACACTAAAACTAGATTATTGGTATCCATCCAATCTAAATTTCCTTAAAAGGGAATCTAAATCTAAATTTCTTTGCAAAAGAGGCTTATTTAACTACCTACCGTATTATCTTTTTTAAAATTAAAATATGGTTAAAGCTGGTCCAAATGAAATGGATGTCTGATGTAGTGACTGAGCTAGAGGTACAATTGGTAGCACTGAATGAGAGAATGCAAGACGTTGGCCACCATTTGTATCAAGGGGATAAAGTACATTTTGAACAAGGGGATTGTGGGATTGTGTATAAATATGAGCCAAAATAAGCTGATTCCCTAGTTGGTACCAACCTAAAATTACAGCTTCTCGATTTTCCAGGAGAGTTGTAGTGCCAGTGCTACCTCCAGTTGTTTTTCTAGCTCGTTGGATGTAGTATACCAAAGTCAGTGATATCAGCTGTTTAACAATGCAATATTTCCAGGGAGGCCCTGTGATCAGCTGGTCTGCTCATGTGTCCGGAGCCGCAGCTGGGCTTCTGCTTGGTTTTACGATCTTTGTTTCTCACAACGATTGCTCCACTTTCAGCAAATCTCTATTGAGATACGCATCGTTTGTTATTTTCATGATACTTTTTGTATTTGCTATTTTGTACATTTATACATTTAAGAATAGAGCAGTTTCTCTTTAATTACTCTTTTTTACCCTAAAAAAATTGAATCCTTAGTTCCAAATAAATGTATGGACACTGCCAGGAAGTAACTATTAGCTAATAGCTATATAGTATGGAATTGCACCGTGTTAAAAGGCTTAATTGAGGTTAACACTATATATATAGCAGCCCTGAGCAGTTTCTAATAGATCCCAGCACTTCCGAACGCACAGATAATGTCTAGGGGTTTGTTACGACACCCTTTTCTCCACCAAATCTGTATAACCACAGAGAATACACTGTTCCTGATCATTGGGCTAAGTAAATGATCCTGACTGATGAATCAGCAGATCTTAGTAACAAAGCTACACAGATAATCACACAACATTCTACACTCATCCTTTTTGGGTTCAAATACGCACCTAGGGGTCCCCATCTCAAAGCCTTTGCACAAGTATACCCACTGTAAAAATACACTAGTGCTAGGTAAAGAATAGACCAGAGGTTACCTAACTAAAATTCTTTATTTACTCTCTACATAAAATAATACTATTTACAAATATCAAATTTATTACCAGTTAGAAAAATATGTGGAATAAAATGGTTGGATATCTTGCTGAGATCATTCCTAAGTTAAATGATTTAGTAATATTCTGATTAAGTTGGCCATTTACTTTCTTTACTTAAATATAAAGCATTGAACCTATTGACGGTAAAACTAACAAGCGACGGTATTTATACATAACACATCAAATGCAACACTTATTTAAAAAATGTGTCCGGTAATAAAAGTAGAGGTATATAAAACTATAAAATAAAAATAAACTCAATTAAAATGGAACAACTTACTCCAAATTATATAGAGACCATTATTGATATCTCAGACAGTATAGTTAGCTCATTGATTAAAGTAACTACACAAAATGTTTATTAGAAACAATTCCAAAACAACTGTGTACTTATGAGTTGAACCTTTGACCATGGAATCATTCATTCACAGAGAAGTATGGTACAAGGAAACTTGCTTATGGAACAACCAAGTGCTTTCAGCTCTAGTATATTTGTGCTGGAGATATACTTGTGTTGAGCAAGGAAGAGCATTAGACTTTGCCCTATACACCAACTAGTGCTAGACACCACTTAAGTGTACCAGTGAATGTTTCCTCTCTACCTTACTTCTCTGTTATTCATAAACATTAGGTGAATATTCCATTTCCACATCAAAATCTTTTTCCATTTTTAGGAAATAAAAAACGTGTTTATAACTAAGATTGATTGAGCTATCCACAGAATGCCCTTCTGTAAAATATGTTTTACTGTTTTGTAACCTATACAGACATGTTTTAGCCGTGTGGAAGTGAATGGGCAAAATAATTTATTCACAGTTATAGCTTAGTGAGAAACTTAATTAACTAGGTATGTTTTCATGGAGTAGAAAACTTTTACCATAGACAAATAGAATAAATATAGATTGGCGAAGAAAGGTTTTGCGATGTGCTGCTAGAGAGAGCGTGCTCAGCATTTGTCGACTCACCGTCTGCTACCAGCACTACCACCCTTGCAAACAAAATGCTACCAATGTATCATACCCACTTTTCAACATGGGTAAAGTGCAAAATTGTGAAATCCTGTAATTTGAATGGAAAAGGCAAATCTTTTTTTAAATCTCGGTAAATTTTTAAAACACAGAAAAAAACAAACTCCTACTCCCCGGATTCCAGGGAATTTTCTAGAAGTTGGAAACCCTTGCTCCAACTACCAACATGGCAACGCTTGCTAGAGCTTGACGCTGCAGCGGTGTGCGCCGAAACTACACCGCACTCCAAGCGGTGGAGGCCAGAATGAACCGCAGCACTGTTGTCAGTCTATATTTAAATCTTTTGTCTATGCTTTTACATACAGCTGGTCCATATATACTTGAGTATACCAAGTCAAACATTGAACATAATACAAAGAGAATAAAATAACTTTTTTTTAATAATGCGTTTTAAATAAACATTAAACATAGAAAGGATATTTTAAAATAAATTATTACTATGATAGATTAAAAATAAAATAAATATATTTACTACTATCTATACAATGTCATTGCAAAACGTGAATTTAATTGCTTGGATTGTTTAGGAGGGATCACTCACATTAATTATTGTTTTAATAAGTAAAAGAAAAACTTACAACAATTGTACAAGATTTTACCATAATTTTTAATAGGACCCCTGTTTAATGCTCCTTAGCTCTAGCGCTGTAAATGTACATTTTCTATTCATTTAGTTAGATAATTTAAAATAAATTATACAAAAGGTATTTCATTTATTTTTTACATGTATGGTTATACAATTAAAAAGAAATCAACTCAGCAAATATTTTTATGAATTTTTATATTGTTTTGTAGGACTAAATACTTGTACAAAAGTATAAGAAATTAAAAAGAACATTTTTTATATATTTCTTAAAAAATGTGAATACTAAATTTCCACCTTTACCTTTATCGGTTTCATCCGTCCCTCAGAACAAATACAACCTTAGAAAGTTTAATAAAATTTTGTTGATGTGGTTTCAAGTTATTTAAGAAATTAATTTATGTTTTACAAATTTTGACATACCATTATATATTTACAAACTTAAAACTTAATATTTACAATAAATAAGAGTAATATCTAAAATAGCAAAATCTTAAAGAGTTAAAATATATTTTAATAATTTATTTTCTGAAAGACTGAGGTATATATTAATGAGTGTTAGTTTTATTTTTTACAATAATTCTCTTAAAAAAAAAATCAGCGTCAAATATTGTATTTGTATTATTTTAATGTATTTTATATAAACTAAAATAGGGGTTGAATTAAAATATCAGATTCTACATTAGACACAACAATACATGTTTAACTAAACACTCTTCAAAAATGTATAGCTATGATGGCAATTGGAGTTTGTATTGCTTGAAATATATTCAGATCTCAAAAAAGAAATCTATGATAACGCCATAACCAGCTCTGCTAGTTTTAAACCCTTATTGAAGTTGGCTACTATTTATTATTAGATCTAATTTGAGGCAAGAAACTTGATATGAGCAACGACAATGTGACCAACTCTACAACATGATGAATACATCTATGACAAACTGTTACAAACCCTTGGAAACTGATATCTCATTTCAATGTATAAAGTAGTATCAGAGGTTCCTTGAATTATGTCCAGAAATATCCAGCAGGTGGTGGGCAATTTGTTTTACAGCAACTAGTAGGCCTGCTACTTGAACCACGAACACGGTTTGCATGTGATGCGCAATGGGCATGAGATACATTATCATCCCCTCCCCATTCTTTTCCAAGGATTTTTTCCTTCCCTACACCCCCAATAAACCTAAAACCTCATGCGCCCCTGGGTGGCCCTGACCAAGAAGAGTAAGTTATAGCTGTGCAATGTTTTCTTTTTCGTATTCTTGTGAAGGAAAATTTCCTCACTAGGAAGGTGAAGTGGGGCACGATTATTCCTTGGGCCCAGAGCGCATGCCATGCAAATTGTGTTCCTGGATGTCTCTGGAAGAATTCAAGGAACTTTTTGACTCTACTTTGTACAATATTTCCATATCGTATCTTACAAACTCATTTTGTTTTGTTTCAATTGCTGCTCTTATCCACAAGAGTTTCAGTACAAATTCAACCTTTGCCAAACAGTTACATGTAATCAAGGCGCTATTGTTTTGTTTTTATAAAGTAACATCCTAATTGATGATTTGTAACTGATCGCTAAGTATTTTTCTTTCTAAACATTTCAACTTGTGTTGAAACTAAACTTATATTTCAGTGCTGAGCAACATCTGCTGAAGCTAGAGTTATTTGTCAGCACTTAAGCGGTCTACACTGAACACCAACTTCCGTACACATACATTCCAGACATGGACCTGATAGTTCGGAGATGATCCGTCCAACCCTGTACATTCTCCCGTAGATGTTGCATCCTGCGAGTTTCAGGAGACCTGACGCAGCTCCCGGATCAGGTCCGGAGTGAGACGGAATAGTTGGTGCAACTTTGGAAACAACAGGTTTAGAATGAGTCGAAGGTTTTGCCGTTCTTGAAACACTTTTTGTAACGCTATGTTCAGTTGTTGTTATATAAACTGCAGGTCTTCTTGTTGTTTTTGTAATTTCAGTTACCACATGCATTTTATTATCATCTAAGAAACTATGAGTAGTCGTCTTAGGTAAAACACTTACTAATTTTGTGGAATTATTAATTTCTGTTAATTTGTTTATGTCTTCATCACTACGATTTTCCAACGATTGCTCGACCAAAGGGATACTTTCGTTTGATTTAATTCCTGTCAATGTTGGTTTGAGTTGAATTTTACTCTCCGGTTTACTTGTAGTCTTCGGTTTCTTAGTGGTCCACTTATCACTGTCAAACAAATAGCTGAAGACAGAATCAAGAGAAAACTCATCATCGTTTGTTTCTTCCTCTTTGACCTCTTTGTAATCGTACTCATCTGTTGCTTTTGTTGTTACTTCAGTTTTGTTCTTCGCTTCTACAGTTTGTGTTGTTTGAGTTGAGGTTTGTTGAGTTGATAACGTTGGTTTTACTGTTGTTGCCTCGGTTTTGAGTGTCGTCGTGGTGGTTTCTGGCAATGACGTTGTTAGGACAATGTTCGATGTGTTCTTTTCCTCTTCCATTGGTTCCGATGTAGTCAGTGATACAGGAGAAGTGCTGGATGTTTGGTCCCACAGATAAGGCATGATGTCTCCTATAAGGGAGGGGAGGTCAGGAGCCGGTTCTGTTCGGATGACGTCCCTGAAGGGATCCGGAGTCACAATCACATCTGCGATTGTGAACGGAGGATGGTGAGGAGCTGGGGTTGCATTCTCCACCACTCTGGTAGGGGACTCTATATTATTTCCATCTGTAAATATGAAAATGATTTTGTGAATTTAATAACAGATTGGTATATATAGTAAGAAAGAAAATAAACTTAGAATATGTTACAGTATGCGAATGTCTTTTTTTAAATTAAGGGCAATATGTTAGAGCATTATATTTTTAGATCGTATGTACGCTATAACGGTTCCTTGCCTCTTTTTGGCATGATTTGTGAACAGAACGGCAATGGCCCCATTTCCGTCAGCTACAGAGCCGCTAATGGTGCCACTCTGTTCCCAATTAATGCCAGTAACAAGCGAGGAGCCTCTTTGCAGGGTAGACGCGAACAAAGAAGCTTTACGCAAACAGCACTTACTAAAAACCTACCCTCATATATTGAAACTAGAAGCGATGGTCAGTAATATAAAATGAGATTGTGAAATTAGTTAGGTACTGAAAGATAGCCCATTGGCAGTGCCTAGGCCTGATACTATTGGGTTGCTCAATTATGAAGGGTTCGAAACAGTGAAATCGTAGAGACGTCTATTACATAGACATCCATGATGGCTAGGTCTACTACGGGAACCAGAGATGAAGACAAAGATGAACATCATTGACTTCATCACTTGTGTGTTGCTAGAATGAACATCAAACTTTTAAAAGAAACCAGGTTAAGTAAAACCCCAAAAATTCCTGTGGATACACTGTATATCGAACCTAATACTCTCACACAAGTCTAAGATTCTTATCTTTAGGTCAGAAACACTTAACTAAATAATACATTAAACAGTAAATGACAAAAAAGTAGTATTACAAAATACAAATGAAATGTACCTTACAACAGGTCTTTATCTTGATCACAGTGTTTTGCTTCATTTGTTGGAAGTAAAAACACCCTTGACCTCTTGTATTTTAGGTAATTTTATCTTAACAATTATACAAAAGATTTGAAATGTGCATGTGATAATCTCTTTAGCAGAGTTTCCTAGATGCGGAAGCTGAGCACAGAACGCAGACTGCGGAAGAAGCGATTTCAATGGGGTTCGCTCTGCTTCTGGGAATACGGTACAATTAATTATCTACGACTCGTTGCAAACTCCACTTTCCCTTCTACGTTTCTTAATTTCCACGCCTAGGAAAACCCAACTTAAAATTAAAGTAAATAAGTTAGTAGAAAAACTCACTCTTAACATGAAAAACACAAGCAATAAAACTACTGTACTCACTGCAAACAACTTTGCGACAGCATGATCCGGGTTCTCTGCTGTTAGAGAGGTGACATCCTGTATCCGGCACAGGACACTTGGGCTGTTGACAAAGGATCTTGCCATAGTAACAGACACAGAGGTCACAAGCTGACGGCTCCGTGAGCAGCTCTCCGTGGCGATAGGTGCGGCCGCCACTGACACATTTGTCTGATCCATAGAGTAAGAAGGATTAGAGAAAACACCCGAGAAACACTCCCTAGAGTAAGAAGGATTAGGGAAAACACCCGAGAAACACTCCCTAGAGTAAGAAGGATTAGGGAAAACACCCGAGAAACACTCCCTAGAGTAAGAAGGATTAGGGAAAACACCCAAGAAACACTCCCTAGAGTAAGAAGGATTAGGGAAAACACCCAAGAAACACTCCCTAGAGTAAGAAGGATTAGGGAAAACACCAAAGTAATATGATTTACTATTATTCTGTCATCTAGGATGAAGTTTGGATTTCATTATACTGTATCTTCCTGTGTTAACTTGCATTTAAACTTTATTGAAGCTCAAATGATAAATTTGGAGAAGCTCGTTCAATGTTATAGAACGATTACTGTACTGCACTTGAATTAATGAAAGTAATTTTTTATGTTTTTGTTGGATATCAGATAAAAAACACATTTTCTCCATTTCTATTCTTATGTATTTTAAATGAGTATCAGCTTTAAAATCTTATACTTGTTCTTAAATTGAGTGCAGCCCCCCATTAGAAAGTCTCATTTTGGGAAGAAAGTTTTTAACATAGTCAGGCTTTTTAGTCCACACCATATTTTTCATGCAGCATGTCAACAAGCTACATTGGAATTACATTTTACTTTTCCACACATAACTTTGCCATTTAAGAAAAATGTACCAAAGAAAACTGTACTTGACAAAGACATACCGTCGTCAGCAGTTTTGAAGGGCTCAGTAATGGAAGGTAGAGAGTCGAGGTTTGCAGAGCCCAGGGCTGCTCCACTGCTGTGGTACACCGTGTCGTACTTGGACTCGTAGAATGGTCCGTCAAGCAGAGACTCTTTGGGCACAAATCCACCTGGAAATTCATTACGTACATCAGTAACGATTGTGTGTATCTCAGTAATTAATTTGGTGATTTTAATCACAACTGAGGGAAGTTAGTAAAACCTTTGTTTGTACGGCAGAACCTCAATAACAAGACTCTCATGGGGAATATTGACTTGTCATCAAAGTTGAATTCTTGTCGAAGAATTCGATCTTGTCCTCAGTTGACTACATAAAATGTAACCCCAGTCAGAGCTGAAGAATGACAATAAAATAACCACCCTGAGAGGTGTTTAGTAGTCAAAATACAACAAATCATGATTGAAAGAAACCAAAAAGAAATAAAATTACAAATACAGGGCGGGATTACATATAAATGATATTTTAATACTTTAGCATTTTACATTCTCATAACTTTTTGTCATTTATGTTTGACTTTCCAACCAAATAAACAGTGAGATACATTAGTCATTGGACATTAAAGATTTAAGTTTTATCCTTGGTAATTTCTCTGATACAACTCTATTCTCAGAGTTAACCTGTCTATAAGGGCACGAAATATTAGCCATAGAACTATCAACCAGTTGCAATTGTTCCCATTTTTCAGATTTCTTGATTTACCTTCGGTTTCCGCAGGAGGTGAGAATCCGCTGGAGTGGGGTATCTCGTAGAAGTGATGTCCTTCGTCTGACGAATGAGACTTTTCCAGCGCGGGACTGTAAACTGGCTCGTCCACTACAGCATCTGCTGCTACAAACGGAATGATTCTGAAAATTGCATAAACTCAGTAAACCCTAAAAAGTGAATGTAATTTTGAAAAGGGGTTTAGGAAAAAGTATAGATAAGTACGGAAAACATTTTTAAAATTATCTAAACAAATTCATCAACACAAATTACCTCTCCTTGATTCAAATTCATAATTTCAAAATGTTTACATGCATGTTTATACGTTTGCTACCAATCGCCACATATATGGGATGCATTGCTACTGTCATTGCCACAGACCAAGGTATACAGTTTAATATTACACATCTAGACCGGGTGTCCCTTGGTTCACAGTACACGCAGACCATGGGCCAGTGATGCAGCAAAGTAAAAAACTGTTTTGCTAACTATCATATTACGTCACTAATCATCATATTCACAGACCAAGAGACGCTCATATGCGACGGCATTCTATGGGTAGAAAGCGGCTGTCGCATATTTGCGTCGCTGGTCCATATGAATGAAAAATTTAGTACTCTTTAGTACTACGTGATTTCTCATTTTTGTGTCTGAGCTTTGTTAGTAATTTTAACTACTTTTAACACATAGTCTATTAACTCAGTATTATTTGAAGGAAATTAAATTATATGATCCTATCCATCAAACCATCAGTAGACTAGACAAAGAAAATTTTCATCGCAATAAGTTTTTTTTCAATAATTTTGAGGGATTACCCAACAACATTATGTTCTTTTAAGCCCATTTATCCATAAGCAGGTACTTACTTATAGCAGCAAAACAAACTATTTAGGAGGGTGTTTTGTCAAATTGGTGCTGTCAGCTACTTACTTATTTTTAATTATTTTTAGCCTTTAGGTTTAACTTACCTTAAGTTCGGAAGAGACGGAGGTAGTGACGGTTCGTTGTAGTCGTAGTCGTAATCCTCCTCTTGGTTGGCAAGCTTGGTTTTATTGAGGATAGCTTCTATTTCTGTTGGCAGCAATTTATCAGGTCCTGGTATAGAGTTATGCTTGTCGATTTCCTCCGTTGTTTCATGGTTTTTTGTGTTGTTTGCTGAAGTTGAGTTATGAGAAGGTAAGCTGATTTGTGTCGTCACATCCTCTACTTTAACTGTGGTTTCTTCTTCTTTTCCTTGGGCGTTCACTCTTTCTTCCACGTCTGGAAGATTAGGAACTACAGTCGTTGAAGGAATCAATGTTGTGTCTCCTTCCGTCGCTATTGAAGTTTCAAACGTTGTTGCCTCTGTTGTTTCTGTCGTTTCAGCTTCGATTGTTGTCGACTCTTCTTTGAGCGTTGTTGTTTCTAGAGATGTTGACGTTTCTTCTTCTGCCAAAGTTGTATCAGCTGGCATTGGCTGTGTTGTTTGTATCAATTGGTCTTTGTTTCCAGAATGTTTCTTGCTACCAGTAATCGATCGCTCTGAGTTCACATGTAGATGGTTTTGAGTCTGCAAGATGTAAATAGTTTGAGGTTGCAAATATAAATTGACAATGGTATTTTCTAATTTGAACTATGAATAAAGTACAAAATACTTCATATTCATTATTTATTTATTTACGGTTACACCATTTTTACAGGGTTGACATGCTGATGATACAATTACAATAAGACTTGCAGACAGCATACCTAAACAAAAAGATCTCCTGCACTGGTGGTACTTATGGTACTTATTTGCCACCCTTGTGGTACTCTAGAGAAAATAAATAAATTGAGATAAAGCTTGCTTTTGCTGCAATGATGGTAGTTCATAAAAATCAATTAGTGCCTAATAATGCACCTCCAGGCACAATTATTAATTGTGCATAGAGAATAATTGAAAGATTCTAAAACATTTGAAAACTTGGAGTCATACTTATTGTGTGATTGTTGCCCCACATTGCATACACATTATTTTCCTAACTAAACACTTATATAAACTTGATTCTACCAGAACAATGTTATTCTCTTACATTTAATGCCATCATGTCTTCTCCTTCATTGTAAAGTTGGTCCTCTTTAAATTGAAGAGTGCTGTCTCCACCTGTAGATAAAGATACATTACTTGAAACAATTAATTAATTGTGCAAGTTTTTAAACTGTCAAAACATTGTAAAGACTCTCATGGGGATTAGATAAGAAGTGTTATCAAAGTTGACTTATTAACGAGGTTTGCTGTAAAATGTGATTAGGAGACGGTTAAAATAAAGTCTAGGCGATTTGAAAATTACTCTTGTTATCAAGGGTACCTTAATTAATTGTTATCAAGGGTCTTGTTATCAAGGTTCCACTGTACACATATGGAAAATCATTATAAGAGTTCCATTTTTGATGGAAAATGTGGCCCAAAATCAATCAAGCGCTTGTAAATAAGACTAATTTCTGAGTATTAATTGCTTTAAAAAATCTGAAAACATAAGTTTGGAAAATTGCTTAAATGTGTTGGGTACCGCTTCTATAAGTGATAATTAAAAAATGTTCATAACCGTTGAACAGTCACAGTATTTACTTCTAAAAAAGAACACAAAATTTGATCAAAATTATTCTATAGAATAGATTAATGTCCGCACTAGTGAGTACTATGACTTTCCGCAGTACTATCCTGATAATTAGACCATTTCGTTAATATCAAGGCAAAAGTGTGGTTCAACAATGTGGTAAACGAATTTCAACTTCTCTGATTACCTATACATTGTAGGTCCCTTAGTTGCCATTAGCTGTACGGGCTATTAACAGCTGTGTCTAAGGAATATGTCGACCGTAGTCACTAACAAGACTACAAGATCGCGCCACCCCTACACTCATTCCCATTCATACTTGGCTTATAATACCTACTTTGTATGGTCACCATTTCAATTGAAAAGTGTTAAAGTATCACTGGTATAAATAATATAATGAAATTCAAATCCATCTTTGTTGGCTTGGTTTTAACAATTTTGTTTGACTAAAGATAGAGATGCAACAAAAATAAAATTGCTTATTTCAGTAACTGACCCAGTTGTAAAGCAAAAGTCAAGCAAAAAATAGCTCGACAAACATTGTTTTATGGGATTTGTTGTATATATTGTATAAATGCTGCTGATGATATGAAACAGCATAAAAATGACTATGTTTACACCTTCTGGCATACCTACCTGAGAAGATTTTAATCTATAATTGAAAAAATAAGCTTCTATATTTTTTTAAAGTACTCTATTACAAAAATTACTGTAACACAGCTAATAAAATAAATAAAAGTAACTGTATTACAGCTTAAACAAAGAAATATTAACCTTTGCATCAAATTTTGTTACTTTCGGATCAATCTTTACATACACAGCAGGGCCGCTTTTATAAATGGGGGCCCAGGGAGAAAGAGGTTTTATGTCTGTTAGGGGCACAAGGAAGAGAAAAATTCCCCAACAAGGGAGGTGTGGGGGACCGAACTGGTCTAGTGGTTAGAGCACGGGACTTCGGTTCCAGAGGTCCTGGGTTCAAATCCCGCCAAATCTCCAATGGATTCTATCTAATGCCGCAACCCTTAGGTCTAGTCTGAAAAACAATTCCGAGCTCGTGCCTAGCGTCCTAGGACAAAAAAAAAAAAATCAAGGGAGGTAAGAAGGCCGCAATATATCTCTCAGGCAAATAGCGCCTATCACACACAAACCTCAGGCCTCATACAAAGGCAAGGGCTTACAGTACAACTGGTAATGGCTATGGTTTGTAAAACACTAATGTAGCAAGCGCTGTAATACTCACTGCAGTTGTAGCTTGTAGGGCAACAATGGCCTGGAGTTACAACAGGTACACATCGTCGATTGACCGGTACAGAACAAACGACCGGTTCGCAATGCAACCGGCCCTTTAGACAGTAGCAGTTCTCACAGGTCTCACCCTTATTTGGAATGAGCTCACCCTCTGGGTACACGTGACCATCCACTTCACATCCTAAAGCGAGTACAGTGTAAATTAAAATAAATTTTATTCAAAGATGTTAGTTTTACTTGTACCTCTTAAATCTTTTATGAATCTGAAAAAACGTTCCTTTTTCTCAAAAAGGAATTAGACAAAATCCCCAATTCCCATTAGAGTACATATTCTAAATTTGTATGTACATTTGATCAAATAGCTACTACACAGAGAAGCAAGGTACAGAGAAAACATGCTTATGGGACGACCGTGCGCTTGAAAGCGCTGAAGCTCTGGTATGTTGTGCCAGATATAAACTTGTGGTGAACTAGGAGGAGCCCCAAAAAGGGACTGTGCAGGAATTTCTATCGCACAGGGCACAGGGTCTTCCTATACTGTTAGCGTTGTAGTACATGATGGCAAGGGGGGTGGTGTTGGACTTTGCCCTAGACTCAACTTAAGTGGACCATTAAATGTTTCATCTGTACCTTACTCCTGTGTGTTAGTACTATGTAAATCTAAATAACTATGTAAAAGAAGTTTTACTTGGAGAGTCTCAATTTTTCTTGTATCTCAAATCTTATATAAATCTGAAAAAAACTTTCATTTTTCCTAGGAGGAATTAGACAAAATCACCTATGCCCATTAGAATAGATGTATGGTGTTGTATATAGCGTAAATAACTACTCAACAGAGCTCTGACTGTTTAATAATTTTGTGTGTCCCAAAGTATTTGGTACATATTGTTAAATTGTGTCTGATGATTTGGCTATGGCATGGAGTGTGGTAGGTATTTTCTGCAGTCAAAAGGTATCACACTTCTGTGTGGTGTAGATTACCATTAAACCGATGAAGGTTGTGCAGTTAGGACAACTAGAAGGTAGATTCCCCAATGTTCTATCTCAAAGAACAAATTTTAAATTTCTTCACTTCAAAGGCATAAAGAGGTGTTAGAACCCTTAAGAAATCTGTCTCCTTGTTAAGCAAAATCTTGATCAACTCCCAGAAAGGAGGGGAATTGTCACCATTTACCACCGACATTGCACTGTCTCACTAAGTGTTTTATTGTGTTCCTTGCTACCGTACTTTTGTTGGGTTATGCATATTAAATCTAGCTAAACCTGTACACCTTATTTAAAATTTTGACAGTGTTTGGTCAAAGGCTCTTTGAAGTCATGTTTTGCATTAAACTTTGTCAAACTTACCTACTCTACATTGCTCTTATGCTCATTGCCTCTTAATTGGACATAAAATCAGGCCTGCCATAGATTGAAAATTGGAAGCTTTAGCTCTGTTGTTGGTACGTATAATACAAATTACAGTTTTTTAATTAATTCTTAACCTTAACCTACCTGATCTTGGGCTGTTTGTGGTAGTAGTTGAATCACTTATAGAGTTATCACCTGAAAAGGAAAAAGAATGTCAGAAAACTATTTGAGTAGCATGATGATCGAAACATTTTATAACAATAAAACTTAAGTAGTCTTTAAAATATCTGAAAATATTATTGTAGGATTCACATAGTCTTGTTTGTGTTGTTCTAAATGCTGAAAAACAAATAACCTTTTCCTACATTCACCTGACAAAGTGGGCTTCCTTACACTGATTATAGCACAGAAAGTTATAATTGCTGCATTTACTCACTTTTGCCGCAGTCCAATATTCCAAACAAACAACACAAAAAGTTGACTTTTTTAGGCACGTATACGTGTACTCTTGAAAATAAGTTGGCAGCACTTAAGGATACTACGACTACGATCAACGATCAGCTGATGCAACGTTTCTCGTTTCGTTCAACGCTTGGATTATTTAACTAACCTAAAATCGTGTTGTATAGTGTTTGAAAGACTAAGTATTGCTATGCTTTATAGAGACTGTAGGAAAAATAGCGCAAATCTCCTTTGCTGCACTGGAGAAACTTTACACACTCGCCTGCGGCTCATGCAGCAAAGTGCCACTTTGCACACTAGTTACACAAACTATTCATTTATTATTAAGTGATACCTATTTATTGGTTGAGTTAACACCATTTTGTCTGCTAACCTTGAACTTTCATAAAGTAACAATTGAAAATTCAACAGTATTTTATGTTTTACATCTTTAGCACTAATAGCATAACCGTGTAAATTCAAAAACGTTAAACTTCATGTAAAAGTTCAAGGAAAAATATTTACTCACTACAGTTGTACTTGGTTGGACAACACGATCCTGGGGTGTAGGTTGGTGTGCATTCTGAATCCAACAGCAAACACTGGGGTTTCACACAGTGCTGTTGGCCCTTGATACAGTAGCAGTAATGACACCTGGTGGATGAGTCCATGGCAGACCCCTCCGCATAAACTGTGCCATTCACTGTACATCCTGGAACGAATGGCTGATTTGAAATAACAGCACTCAAGTAATGGGAGCAAAATAAACACTTGAGCCCGGTGCTCAGTAGCTAGGCATTCTTAAGGAAAATACATCTTTCATGGAAAATGTTTGAGTTGAATTTATCTTCGGAAGTTCTCAGGGGTAGGATTTCGACAACATGGACCCCTTGTGGACTGGCAACTCATAGGAACCCTAGCTAACGCCAACATTACTCCTATTTTGTTCTTCTAGGTTATATGATCAGCATTTTTCCTCTTTTTGCTGATCCATAATTCTCTTCTCTTTCCTACTGAAAAACTCTTCTTCTCTTCTCCCTTCTTTTTCCTACTGAAGAACTCTTCTTCTCTTCTCCCTTCTTCCTCCTCATGTTTTAGCTGAAACTCAGTGGTGTCAAGCAACCCATGCCAAAGATCTGAATACCACCGGGCTATCTAGCGGGAGTGAGTTTTGAGCCTCTAGGATACCAGGTCTTTGAGTAAGCCCCTGGGGCTCTGCCCGAATTCAACCTTGAATTCCAAAGCAACTCCAAGGAATATCATGGCACAAAGTACAAGATAAACCAAATCTCGACACAGCTCTTAAAGATGCGTCGCCAATAAACCATTAGTTAGCTCATCCAGATCCCATCAAGATCCCACTATAAAAACAAGTACTACAAGAACAAAAGAAGTTTGTGAGAGTATCAGAATCTCATTTGTTCTTGTACTCCTATGTTCTTCCTAGACGGGAAGAACCTCTTTTTCTTACCTTTTATTTTATTAAAAAGAAGAGTAGAGTATTTTATGAAGACGATAGAGTATGAAACCGTGATCTTGCCAGATTCACTGGTGAAAGAGGAAGAGCTTCTCAGAAGTTCAACACTAAAATCTACATGGGCACTTACAGAGCAGCTGAGTCAACTGAAGATGAAAGAACCCAATTTCACCTCTGCTTAGTGAAGGAAGGTCTTAATCTTAGGCTCCTTACATGAGGTGAAGAATATGACCCTGCCAGGTGGCACTGAAGAAAGAATAAGAAAACCAAAACAGCAGAGGTAGGGGAACATTCGGCCCAACTGTGACGAGCAGTTTTTCAGTAGAAGGGCACTCATTCAAAAACCATGGCTTCACCAAGGAAGAGTTGTAGGTCTGGGAGAAACCAACGTTGGTCTATCACACTTCCCTTAGGAATTTTAGAAAATGCCTTCTTGAAGGAAAGGAAGTAACCAAATCAACCTTAAATAGAGACCTTACTGTGTTATTAACAACCTGGGGTAAAGACGACAGAGAATGATGGAGCATTAGAGCAGTAGCAGGGAATCTCCTGCATTGAGATAACTTGAGCTTTTAGTGAAATCAACGAGTGTGAAAATTCAACAACTCCTAGGTTGTGATGGCAACTACAAAACCATTAGATGAAAACACACCAATCCAAGAGGTGAGGCAGATTCGCCAATATTGTAGCTGATGTCATGAGCGCAGAATACCAACCTTCAATATGTCAAAGCAATGGGTTTCAGAGAGGGACTGAACATAAATCTATACAAGAAAAAAATAAATTGTATTTTCTTCCCAAGGTAAATTTTTGGCTTCACGCACCTGGGAATGTCAAGTAAAGTCTTTTCAATTATTTTAGAAATCTTTCCAATTTCAATTATTTTATGATTTCAGCTATAGTTACATAGAAAAAGTTACTCAAACATTGAATACCTTCGTCCTTTAAACGACAACTAAGCTCATACAACAGTCACCACAAAACATTTACAAGATGTTTTTCTCTAAAGAAAAAGACAGTAGTTTCTTCTCTCTACCATTCATTCATCATTCAATTGCGCATATTAAAATGGAAATGAGAATAATCTTAACATACACCTTCGAAAACAGAAACGCAATGTAGAAACAGGTCTGTACAAGATCTAGTATTAGGAGAAGATTGCAGGAGGCGTAACTGCTGTTTTCTTGTTTCACGTTATAAGTTATCCCTTGTCGGATTAAACAAAAAAATACATTAACAAATATTAATTTGTGGTAAAAGAAGTGTAAATGTACACAAGTACATAGCCTGCAAATTGAAGTCCGCACAGTAGATTTAGATTAGAAGGCCGAAGTAAAATTCTTGTTTGATTTAAATTATGAACGGTAAAGTCCAATATAGTTACTAATAAAGTTTACTTACCATTCAGCGAGTTTCCTCCGTCTACAAAGTCGTCAGACAGTCTTCTTCTGTTTCCTTCTTCTGGACCTGAAAATAATTTTCTGATTATATGGGTATCGTGTTATTTAGTTATTTGCCTTTTCATCATACTGCAGCAAATACAGCCGTTTTTAATACATGCGCTGCGAGTCTAAAAGTAGCTAATATTATTCGCTATGGCTCATATTGTTGTATTGTTGTCAATAGTTCGACGTATCGAACTATAATGTACCCAAAAAAGTAGACACAGTCGTAATAGACGAACTGGCCGAATCACTTTCTAAACAGCTGATTATTATTGAAACCAAGACTTTTTGGGAGGTTATCTTGAACAAAAAGTACTTATGTTTTTCAAATTAGTTTGTTCAATAATCTTGCAATATTACGAAAAATATAGTTCATCATACAGCCAAAAGGGTCCAAAGAGTAACTTTTACGCCCTAATGGCGAATTCATCATACTGCAGCAAAAATAGCCGTTTTAATACATGCTCTGCGGGTCTAAAGTAATTATTCTTTCCCTCCCGTTTTTAAGGAGTAAAAGTCAGCTGTTGTAAACCTCAGATTCGCCTCGGACATTAACGTGCGCTCGGTTTGTAAGAAATCACTTTACGCCCTAGTGATGAAATATACAATCAGGCCGGACACTTTTAGGGGCACACATTCTTGATATATTTATAGTTTGTCCAATGTCCCGTGCGCCCTGGAGGATTAGAGCGACCCTACTCACACACGCGCAGCCACACTCACGCGCACGGTCCGGCCGACCCGCCGCTAATGGGTTTTCTATGAATCGCTTGCTAGCCCAAGTGCTACAACATCACATTTTTATATCTTTTAATTTCATCCAATTTGTATTTAAATAACTAAACTCTGAATATTATTACTTGCAAAATGAGTCCAAACACGATACAATTCTGACAGCTCTAAGTGGTTTTAGTTATTTAAAAATTTAGAAAATTAATAAAACGGGGCTTTTATTACGTATTTTATATTGTAATAACCAAAGGTCCTAAATTAAATAACAGTAGTCAGATGAATAACGTGGAAACAGTTTACAATTAATTATTATTAATTATTAACTTACATTCCTCGCGTGAGTGTTTTCATTTGGTAGTAATGTCGACAGGTAAATCACAACAAATTTTACATTCTCAAGCAAGAACAATAGTAGCTTCAGTGATCCAGTACTTTTATTTAGAAAAAAATAATATGGGTCCTTTGAAAGATGTAAAAAAGGTTTTGGAAAGAGTGTCGGATGCATGCAATGTTCCATACGGAACAGTTAAGCGAATTAACATTCAACTTAAGGAAGAAATCGTGTCAAATGAGACAGAACAAACGAGTGAAGAGCACGCCGACGTTGAAGAGGCAGAGCAACCTACACAAGATGGGGCAAATGTTACTAGCTCGAAGAAAAGGCGCATTTTGATCACCACGCCGCGCAAGAAAAAGCCACGTACACCTCGGAACCGACCAGTAACTGAAGTTGATGATTTTCAGAAATCAGCCATTCGTCGCCACATCATGACTTTCTATGAAAGGAAAGAAGTGCCGACCTTGAGAAGACTGCAGGGATCCCTCCAAGATGCTGGACTTTTTAATGGCTGTAAGTCATCCTTAGCCACAGTTTTAAAGAGTTTAGGATTTGCCTACAAAAAGTTCAACAGTAGGAAGGTGTTAATGGAAAAACCTGCGATAGCGCTCAAAAGATGCCAGTTCCTTCGGAAAACACGCGACATGGACTTAAAAAACACGGTGTTCCTGGATGAAACCTGGCTAAACGAAAACACATGCCATGAAAAAGGATGGACAGATGGAAGTGTCAGAGGAACATTGAGTGCTCCCCTTGGGAAAGGAAGACGCTTAATAGTTTGTCACGCGGGGACTCAAGATGGCTGGATTAAAGCACCGCCGCTCGTTTTTCAGTCTTGCAAGACCGGAGACTACCACGAGGAAATGGACTCTAAGGTGTTTGAACATTGGTTTTTCAACACATTAATCCCCGTGTTACCTCCCAGCAGCACTATCATTATGGACAATGCACCATATCATTCCAGGGTGGAAAATAAGGCTCCCACATCGAGTTCTACCAAAGCAGAGATGACCAACTGGCTGAATGATAGAGGAGTGTGTTTCCCGCAAGACCTGAAGAAGCCTGAGCTGTACAATGTCGTGAAGCTGCACAAACCCCCGCACCCGACCTACGTGATTGACTCAAAAGCAGCAGAGCTGGGATTCAAAGTAATCCGCCTTCCTCCGTACCATTGCCAGTACAATGCTATTGAAATGGTATGGGGGTATATAAAAAAATATGTGAAGGATAGAAACCAAACATTTAAATTGAGTGATTTAAAAGTGCTATTTTCCGAAGCCGTATCTGCTGTGACACCTGAACTGTGGGGAAAGTACGTTAAACACGTGAAGAATTTGATGGAAGAGGATTGGAGAAGTGAAGGACTCAACGACTTGAGTGTTCGTGAATTTGTCATCAACTTGTGTCCTGGAGATACCGACTCAGAAAGTGACAGTGACAGTAACGCCGAAGACGAAGACTTTGGATGTGCAATTTTAGAATAAGTAAGTGGGCTTCCTTACTTTATTTTAAATTAGCAAATTTAGCTTCCGTATTTCCATAGGCAAAATGTATTCTTTTGCTCTACATTAGGTTGATGTGTAACTCCGTATGGTTTCTATATTGCATCGTCTAGGATTTTGTTTATACATTTTTTGACATAGATGGACCAAAATGTACACTAAATGTAAATATGTATATAAAATTGCTATGTCTTAAATTAACATTTCCGTATTGGCTTAATTTGTCTAAAAATGTAATCCAACAAGCTTGGATGGCTATGTAGATACGTATGCTGATTATTTCCTAGGTGTTTAAATTCCAGTGTCTAGGATTTTGTTTATTTATATTTTGGTATACGTTACATTTTGTAGGAACGTATATGATTGCTAAATGTATATATCAATATAATGTTGCTATGTAAATATTTTGACACACGTTTATTTATTTTTTGACAACATTTCGGAGGAACCTATATGGTTGCTAAATGTATATATATGTATATAATATTGCTATGTAAATATTCTCCTGTAAGTTTAATCATGTTATTTCTATATTTTAACTTCAGTTTGCGTGATCTGTAATCTAGTTTAATTTTTAATTTTCTTCCGTATCGGCTTATGAATGTAAATTGTATAAAAATGCAATCTCTTGCTTTTAACTGGATGGTAGATACGTTTATGATATTATTCCCTTGGTATTTATATTGCTCTAGAATTTTGTTGTAAATATGTACGCTATTTAACGTTGTTATGTAAATCTGTTAATATTTGGTTTAATTGTATTATTTTTTTTCTTTATTTTGCGTTAAATAAATTCTCTACAACCATTTATAAATAGTCTAAATTATTATTTTACAACCTACTGGCCCTAAAACCACTTAGAGTTGTCATAATTGTACCGTGTTTAGACTCATTTTGCAAGAAAAAATTTCTAGATTTCATTAATTAGAGTAACAAATGAGTAAAATTATCAATTTTAAAAATATGATTTTGTAGCACAAGGGCTAGTTGGTGATTCATAGAAAACCCACTAGCGGCAGGTAGGCCGGGACTGGCCGGGACGTGCGAGTGTGTGTGTGTGTGAGTAAGGGTCGCTCTAATCCTCCAGGGCGCACGCGAAATTGGACAAACTATAGAGTTTATAATGCATTTAAACTGAAGCAATTATTCTTTTAATACATAAGAATATATGGTTTTAAGCTAGTTGCTCTGAACGTACTCCCAACGGAGTGAGGACGCAGAAGAGTACAAAGAAATTCTGGAGAGGTTCAAACTATAGTCTGCATGATGAAACCTGTCTCCTGATCCTTCGTCTACCTGGGACTAGCCCGGGCCTTACACCATTGGCGAGTCCCCAGGTACACGAAGGGGCAGGATACATGTTCTATAATACATAATATAGCCACTGAGGATGTAAAAGCGAAAAGTGTGACAGCAATCCTCAATTGCCAGACGGTGCGGTTGACGCCAAAACTCACCATAAGTAGACCTAATTAATTGTGTTTTTTTTTGTCGTATAGACTAACCAGTATATACTAAGCCCAACCTTGGAATTCTGGACGTCTACATGGTGTAACCTGTGGAGATTTTAATTACGTAAATATACTTATCTACTGGCTTAGCTCACGACCCCTTTGTGTAAAATTCTAGCAAATTGTTGTTGGCTTTTGCGTTGCACCCAGAACAAAAACATATAGACACTAAATTATCTGCAAATTGAATATGCTCGTCTAGAAGGATAAGATTGTTGATAGGAAAGAAAAAGAACTTTTACCCTTTTAAGAATTTAAATCGTTCTGCACAAGAGAACTGTGAGACCGTCTGTAGACCTGTCTGGACACCCTGAAAGTCACCGGAACATCCAAAGGTCACTTGAATTAAACGTCTCCGGAATTTATTCTCAGTTGTCATCATTGGAGAAAGTAGTCAGTTTCCATGAATCGCTGGTGCAGTACTGGAATGCCTGGATCATTCTTGGATGCCACTCTAAACACAAGACGTATTTTGTTCACAGCATTTTCTCCGCGTCTCTTCTTTCAAACAAGGTCATATTTCTAGTTTTCTCTCTCTTTGGAATCGCGCGTTCAAACAGAAGGATAACGGCAAAGTCTTCGTGCGCTGCATTTTAAAAGGGAACTTAACTAACGTGTGAATGAATAGGTATAATGGTCCTTTACACTAAGCATGGGTGGAATATTCAGACTGAAGACTGCAATTGAGGTTAAACTACGGCATCGTCTTTAACCTTCTCGTTGCATCCAAGCTTTGATTCGAATGGAAAGTGGAATAAAACTCATTGCTGCATCGTGTTGCAGATTCATGTTCTATTTGTGTTTGTTGTGTTGTTGTTGACACGAAACTTGTTAAACATTCATAATGCAATCTTTTAGACGAATTCCAAAGGTACAGAGCTGCATGAAAGTACAGCAGGGATCATTGTCGAGTTCCATTCTTCTGCTATCAAAATGAATG